TGTTATACACTGCCCTTGCCTACTTGCGCTACAGCGTTTGTGCGGACATAGGTAACTACCAGAACTTGACTTGAGACTAAATCAACATTGATTATTCCAATCGATTTAGAATTCCTTTTTGCATCGATTTAAATTGTCTATCCGAATGTCCGTCTGTCCTGTATGCTTGCCTTGTTTTCTTGTGTTCTACCAGTAAGACACAATTTTTGAGATATTTTGTTGAAATATAGTCCGCCGACATGTTTTGGCAAACAATGGCGAACGCTATTGAAAGTTATTCGAATCGGATTCCTTTTTCGATCACTTCTCATACAATGCTTTATTTTGATAACTTGTTCTATGAAAATATAAAGTAATTTTTAGAATTTCACGACAAAGAACGCTTAGTAATAGTATTTCGACATATTAAGTTGGTATAAAGACTTTGGATCGGATGAGTTAGTCTTTTGAAACCCTTCTCATAAAAGCATTCCTACTAACGCAAAAACTCTATGTAGTAGAAAGGCCTAAATTTCAACACTTCTTCACGAAAATTCATTGATAGCAATAATTCGACGTAAAATGTAACTTTGTCGAGTTTGGGCCATGTAGTTTTACCTTTTGGACCCCAATCTACATAACGATTGTAATGATAAAATAATCCGTTATATAATTGTTATAATTTATGGTGAAGGTTTGCCATTAGAAAATCAACCAAACAGAATTTGGATGACATACATATATTTTGTAGACCTCAACATATATAAGATCTTTCATGAAAGTGATCTCTTCTATGGCGGCAAAGTCTAATTTATAGTTTGCTATGGCGAAAGCGACTGAAAAATAATAAAATCTTTGACAAGCAAATGAAGTGTGGTAAAATGAAAGCTTCTAAGGAAGTTATTCACTCATATAAAAATAATGATTAGTACTTGATGCATTGTGACTGCAGTAGGCGAACTGATGTAGATTATCTAATGGTGGTTAATCATGCCCAACTGTAGCATTCTTACTTTTTTCTAGCTTAACTGCCATAGATACAAAAGATTCGATCGCGGCTGCACATAAAAATGCTTTACCTGTTGTTTATATGTTAGTATAAAGTTAAAATTATTCAAGAAAGTTAAACACATTGAAGCCAGAGCATAATTTGCTGTAATCAAGGGATTCTGAAGTTCTTTAAATAGGAGCGGATGGACAAGAATCCAATAGATGAAGAAGAAAATTATCAATTACAAACTTGCGGAAATAGCATATAGAGGATATAATTTTATCAATATAACGTTGATCTCAATTAATTTCGAAATTTTGTGTCTATAAAACTTACTGTTCGTTTAATACTAATGTTGAGCAAGGTAAAGTTTTGTTCCGTAACAATTGTTGAACCAGTTCAAAATAATAATTGTATAATGTGGAGAGTTATAGACAATTTTGCAAACTCTTCTTATTTCACTTTAGTTAAGAACGAATTTCTAAATGTCTAGTACACACTCATAGCCTGTACGTTACCTTGACAAATAACAACATTGACGGCCGGCAAGCAAAAATTCATATAAAGCTTAATATAAAGGGTGCTTTGTCTTTTAATTAGTTTCTTTTTCTCTTGCTTTTGTAACTTATATAAGCGTAAAAACTAAATTAGCAGCAAAACGAAACCAATTAGAAAAAATATTTATAGCAATAAAGTAACAATTAGCGCGACTTTGTTACATCCACAAAATTGCAGGAAAAGCAATAATATTTTATTTTCTTTTTAAGTTTTGTAAGCATCTTAAGATGAATTTTGAATACTCTTCACTTTAACGACTTGTAAAACTTTTATTACTATTTACATGAGAGAGCTAATAGTTTAACTGCAATAAATTTTCGGATCTTCAGACGATTTTATGGCTTTATCATGCCTGCCTTCAAATATGTCCTATCATCATAAACGAAGAATGTATATACCATGTAGCAATTTTTTATCTCAATTTTTACATAAGAGAGGAATCTATCTAATAACAAATGAAGAATAGATAGACTGACCTAATCGATTGAGATCCATGTATATTGATATGAATATATACAAGAATCTATTTCATACATTCGCTCCTGAGCCTGTGGTTGTAGGGAAAAAGCAAGAGGTATAGTTTTCCGCTTGGAACAGGCAGGCACCCTTCCTTCAATTAACTGTGTGAGAATCGACTAAAGACTGGTGCGCCTAATTATATATTTCCATCGTTGCGCATTCCTTGTGAGTTTTCCAACAAGTGGTCAAGCATTGACGGACGGATGAACGGACATGACTAAATAAACTGACGTCGATGCTTCCTGCAGCAGGCGAAGGACGAACGGACGGATGTACATAGCTTAACTGGCTGGAAAGTTTACATTATTAAAACTTATATAGATTCGGTGAAATGCGGTTCCATTGATAAAAGCAATTTCTAAATGCTATCCGGAAGAAATTTAATCTTAAATCACTACTAGTCGCGCCCATTCTCTTAAAAAGCCCTGCGACAACTAACTAAGTAGTTGTGCATTTAGTTGCAGCGCTGCCACGCGATTTACACACTGTACGGCTTGCAACGGCAGGGGTTGCATGGTCGAACGGACGAACATACGGATGCGATTAAGTAGATCAAAAACTGCTCTGGCAATAGTTTAGTATCTCCACACTACCCACGCCCACTTTCAAATTAGGTTTCTGGCAATAGACTAATGGCATTTGCTTCTACTTGTAGGCATAAAAAGGATCAGGTGGACAGACGGACAGACAGATAGTCATCCATAAATAACTGATCTGACTCGGAGTTCTAATACAGTCCATAGATATTTTACAGGTTCTCTAGTACATTGAAACTCAAGTTTTCTTTCCTGCGGTGATTATTGTGACGTAGAGAGGAAAATCAAATTCATTTCGTCTCCTATAAAACTTTTTAGAAGCTAATAAAGGTTAAACTGCTGAACGTAAAGTTTCTCCGCATAAAAGTTGACGACGGTGCTCTTCAAATAACCGAACGGACGGACGGAAAGATTGGCCACACTTGTAAATCGGATTATCTCAAGTACTAATGCGAACTTTGAGAGCTTTAGAGTAGAGTTACCCAATTATTATTGTGGTTGGACAGATGGACTGCCAAGTAACTGTAGTAGAGACCCTCAAAACTGTGTTACTTTAGTTCTTTTGGAAAATGTTTAGATTTTAAGAAATTTAATACACCTTATGTGCAGTGAGGTATAGAAATGCTATGAAAAACGAAAACATTTATGAAAAATTTTCTCAATAAAGGAAAACGTAATGAATACCAAAAGTATTTCGATATGAAAACATTGGTGATACTATGAGCATTGAATTTCTGTGTGCACAACGTTCCTATAGGTTTCGTCGTCCTTCTTCTATTTCTACCTGTTCGTTATGCAGCCAGATATCGAAAGTACTTCAAATGTGAAGAAGAGTTGTGGAAAAGTTTAACGAACAACAACAACAAGAACAGCTTGAACAGTGATAATAATAATAATAACAACAACAAGGATAAGAACGAATAATAATAATAATAATAATAATAATAATAATAGTAAATACAAAACCAACACATGCTCATGCACTTATTAATTTCCCACAATACAATTGAAAAGTTGAAAAATCGGAAAATATTAAAATAAACAAAAGGCCTGCCTGCGTTTGCTGTTATTATTACAAATAATGAAAATATAAGTAAAACAAAAGCGTACAAGCCTTCAGTGTAGAAAATTAAAAATAAATAAAAACTTACTCTTAAATAATGCAAAACTTTATTAATGTTTCCTCTAAGTGTTGTTTGTTGCTCTTATACGAAAGTTTTAATGGATAATGGAGTACATTTTCCGTTCTCCATCTCGCCCAAGTCTATATATCTATCTATGTTTATTACTTTCGTTGATGAGAATAAATATTTAACATGTACGATGATTATAATCGGTTCCGACAGAACCGCTGTTATCCTATAAAGGATTGATGAAAAGGGAAAATATAAATATACATGCTCCATAATATTGGGTGGGCGTGGTTGATTTTCTCTATTATTGTAGAATAATTTTGCGAAAACTTACATTGATGTATCTGTTGTAGCCTATGAGCGACGAGCAAAAGACACGGGAGGCGAACGAGTTCTGGTTATATAGACAACTGGTCGTTGTAAGCGGTTCCTTTGACCTGTTTGAGCCATTTTCAAACTCTCTTTTTTGCGAACGGAAGAATGTATACCACGAGCATTGCGCAGTTGGGCAGACGGATAGAGAGACATGCTTACGTACATTTCGGATTGAAAACTGGTTAACTGGTATTTTCGAAGATTGTTCCCATGCCTGAACGGAATACATGAAATTTATACATTATAAAATAAAGTAGAAGTGTCCGATTTTTCCATCTTTTTAGAGGTACTACAGCATGGCGTATAGAGTATACGTTCAAATTTTTGTACATTTATCTGCTGTAGTTGCAAGAGAGCAATTTTTTACTTCTTTTGAAAAGCAGAGGTGTTTTTAGCTTACATATTACTGTAGGCGTGCCCTTCAACTGATTTTGCTTATTTTCAAAAACCAATCTGTCTGCAAAAACATCTAAGGTTTCTACCAAATTTCAAGCCGAGAACTTAATTTATGCGGCCAGATGAATGTTTACCAGCGGGCGGACAGGCAGACGAACTTGCTTAAACCGATTCAGAATTTGATGCTGAACAAGTATATATATACATTTTGGGGCGTCCGATCTTCCTTCCTAGGCTTTGCATACATTTTGACAAAATGACTATACTCCGTCATCATTCGGCAAAGGATATAAAAAGAAAAAAAAAACATTAACTGGATATTAATTAAAACATCTTTAATTTAAAGTTAAGCTCTTACCATCAAATGGTTGTCAGGCTTATCAGTAAATATCGTATACCATTTCAGTTCAGCTCGTTTTCTAATTGTTTGATTAATGCGTTCGTATAATGCGTTTGTGCTGAGATGGTTTAAAATTTTTCCAATTCTTAGCTTAACGGCCTTAAATCATTTACTTGGAGTTATTCAAGGAAATTAAACTGACCATTGCTATTTCATTATCATCATTATCATCGTCATTATTATCATTAACATCATCATCGTTGCGCTTATCCTTATCAATAATGGCCTCATCGTGGCCTCTATCATCATCAATATCGTCAGCAACAGCATCGTTGTGTCATAATGAATGACTTCGTTCATTAGAATTTTAAAAAGTTCACCCACTACACAATTTAAGTCGTTCCAATTGTGCTAACATCCCATTGCTTTGCAACACGACTACACTTTGACTTTTTAATTAAAATACTGGGAGAGCAGTCGCTCTTTGTCACTTATGACCGACACAATCACCACCACCACCACCACCACCCATACCCATCACCATCGTCATTACCATCACCACTTACCACTGGTCAGTAACATCAGTTACCATCATTCACGGCGTCTCAACATTCTTATCTCTCGTCGTCTCGACTCGACTACGATGGATGTATATGCGTGTTTTCGTATTTAACTTAACATTTTGGGACCACATTTGGCTGATTCTTGTACTATTTGCGTGTTAAAGTATTAAATTAATGAACTATTCAATGAATTTTTTTTTTTTTTTCTTGTTTTTAATCCTTTTTCTTTCTATTCTTCTTTTCTATTCATTGTCAATACACAGTTTCTTTTTTTCCCAATCGACCGGATTTTTCTTGCTTTTTATTTTTTTCTGTGGCGTAATTTATTTTTGTAACTTTTGACATTTTTTATAAAAGATCTCAATGCCCAGAACGGTTACACTAAATACGATTGCACATCCTAGAAATACTAAAGCAGCACCAAAATGTTCCATATCCACAATTATTTCATTGCCTTTGATTAAACTGCAATCAATTTTATGAAATTCCCATAATTTATTATTGTATTGCATAAGCGACGATTCGCGCAACTTTAATGCCACTTGAGCGACATATTCCTTATAAGGTGTAGACTTTGCCAGAATTATTCCCGTTGAATAGCCAGGTATGTAACGAATCTCTTGTAATTCGCAAAACTGACGTTCATTTAGTTGATCTGAAACAAAAAGGGATCGAATAACATTTAATTAGTAAGCAAAGATCATTCAATCGACCTAAGATTAGTAAATGAAGTCAAGAGCAAAGGAAATCGAATTTTACTTTTTTTGTTCTCAACGATCAGCTGCTCAGGGGATATGCCCCGCAGATAAGGGCAGAAAGTTGAGGACAGAGAAAGAGAGAGAGCAGCGTTCAACTTGGCAATGGAGGCATCTCAAGTTTTTTGAGAGAGACTACTGCGGTCAAGCTACCAAGCGTCTCGGCAGTACGTTGTACCGTGTTCAAGTAACTGCCAGAGGAGTGGATGAGAACGCTGAGAAAGTCGTGTAGTTCTGTTAAAGGACTTAGTTGACGGGCAAATCTCTGCTATCTTGCTCTAAGGGCACCAGTAGGTAAATGCAGCACAGCCCACATTACGCGGATGGTCAAGAGCCCACTTTCGTCGTCCATGAGCGTCTGAGCTTTTCGCTGTATGCGCTGAACGGCCTCAAAGTAAAATTTCAAGGCTTCCGCCCATATGTGCGAGTTATGCACTAATTTTAGCTGGATATAAGCGGCGTAAATGGTACGAATACTGAATGGTACTGAACCGCTTCAAAAAATTGCGTCTTCAAATACTTGCTTTCTGCAACGAATATGGTTTTGTATTCTCCCGCCCAGTAGGGGTTATTTATTGCTTTACCTGTACGTTGGAAGACAGCTCTGAGTTTTGACAGTATTAAAGCTTACCCTATTTGTCTGACCCCAATCAAACATTTCTATGAGGTTCCGATTTAAGGAATCGAATCATCGAGTAGATTGGAATATGTGTAAAGCGATAATAGCAACAAAAAGTTATAGTTTGTTTTCTTCAACATGACCACTGACTGAGGAGGTATCCCCTGCACATGTGAGGCGGTACCAGTCAGAAAGAAGTAAGGAACGAAAAAGAGATTGCGGCGGTGCCACAGCATAGTGGATATTTGCCAAACCGGCTGAGCACTCACTAAAGTAAACTCTATCGCACTATCGAGATTTCAACTCACAAACACTGTCTTGATGGTCACGATTCTTACCTTACTCATCCGGAAAATGAAGCCTTAAAGGCTTTTTAATTTCATTGACTAACTCTCGGATTGTGGCTTCAAAACTCAAGTGCGGTAGAGTTTTGAATAAACCCGATAGCCGTTAGATGTGCTAATACCTTACGACTTTAGTCTTAAAATGCATTTTTATAGGTAAATTAATAATAACAACAGTAATAATTTCATGGATATGATGAATTAAGCAAATTTATATGAACAAAGAAATAAGTTCGTATACTTAACCTGTTTCACTCCAGGGCACATGTAACTGTATTTTTGTTTTTTTGTTTTTTTTATTTAAGAACAATTAATAAACTTATACAAATTGTGCAATAAAAGGACCTTTACATATACATACGTATTTACGCATTTGCAAATATATATATATAAATATATATATGTACATATATATATATATAAAAATATATACGTACGTATGTATATATATATATACATGTACGTATGTATATATATGTATATATAAATATATATATATATAAACTTCATTTTATGTATGTATGTATGTTTTCTTCCTCCCTCTTCTTCCTATTGAAATGAAATTTTATTCTTTTCAATTAACTTGTGCTAATTAATAGCGCTATTATATCGAATTTACAAACAAGCAACCTTACATATTTATACAAACATATATGAATATCTGCACACATGTACATGTACACCTAAAGCTTCCATAGTTTATCAGAGCCATGCAAACAAATAACCACCAGCCACATAGCAATTGAATTATGGAAGTGAAAGGCAAAATTGTGGAAAAACAGAGCAGGGATAGAGAGAGAGAGAGAGAGAGAGAGAGAGAGAGAGAGAGAAAGAAAGGGAGATGGACAAAGAGTAAGACAGGACAAATGTATTTTTAATTGTCATAAAATTCATTTAAATTAACCAAAGGATATAAATAAAAAAAATAAAAAAAAATTTTTGTTGTTTTTTTCTTTATAAAATAAAACAACAGCATGAAAATTTATCTTTTTTGTTGTTGTTTGTTTTGTTAAATAATAACAAGGACAACCACAGCAGTAGTAACAACAACAACAACAACAAAGGCAATAATAATAATATAATATAATATAAAATAATGCATAAAATCGTATAAAATTCTTATTTGCTTTATGAGGCATTAATTTAAACAATGCGATTACTTTTCCACACTATCATCAGCAGTAATATAGCAGACATTGTAATAACAACAACAACAACAACAACAACAACAACAACAACAGCAATAATAAAACAATAATAACAATAACGACAGCAAAGACAAAATAATGTCATTTAAACAAAGATGACTTGTTAATATATAGTTTTTCACATTAAAATTTAATTAATGATAAAACTTTATATACACAGACAAATAATAATACACACACACAAACACACACACACTCAATACACATGCCCATGGACATTCAGTTTGTTATTTAGTATATCGTATATTAATATATATTTAAGTTTGCAATATTGCTGCGTAAAATCAGTTATAACACAATATATATATATATATATATATATATAAATTAGTAGCAAGAATCGAGAAAGAGAACTCAACAACATCAACTTACATGTGCAAAATATTTAAAAAGTATGAAAAGAAAAAAGTTTTGCATAAATATTTACTCGACTAGACTTACTTTTCAATAAGCGATAAGCACGATCTATGGACATATGAAATGCGAAACCACCCTGCGCTATACGATAGATACCTTGCTCCAGCGGCAATATATTTGTGTGACTTTTGCCATTCGCTCCCAGTATGCGCTCTTTATATATGATATGCATTAATCGACTGCTAGAATTTTCAAAGACATGATAATTATACTGTATATCCTCCATACCCAATTCTAAATTGCTATTGTAAAGTGCTTCCAAAGTGGTTAAGGTACGCGGTGATTCCGCGAGTAAAGAGCCTACAATATAACCATTGTAGAATTCCATTAATATGAACACGAATACGCATACTGTTGCAATTAGTGTGCGAGATGAGATTAAGTGAAAAATTTCCGACGGTGGTCCCTGCATTAATAAAGCTTCCGCCGCCACAAGCATAGCAAAATTGACATGTTGTTCCAATTGTTTTCTCTGCACATGATGTTGGCTCCATCGTTTATACTCTTCTCGTATTTGTATGACCAACAAGACTATTGTTAGAATAATTAAAGCTAAAACACACCACCAAACCGGGACAGCTAAGGGTGCTAAGTAAACGTTACGTATACTGACATGACGTGGATGACGTAAAATAAAGTTTGCCCTTAAGCGTGCAAATAAGAAAAAATAGTAGGAGTAGGAGAGGAAGATGGAGGGAAAGAAAGAGATAGACAGAGAGAGAGAGAGAGAGAGAGAAAGAGACAACGCGGAAGGGAAAGTGTAGGAAGAAGGGTGAGAGCGAAGATAATATGATATGAAAATTTATTCAGTGGATATTCTTTCCATTAATATTTACCTTTCTAAGTGAACTTCTGGCGAGTAGTCAACAATCAAAACACGTCCACTTAAATAGCGAAAAGGAGTTAATGAAAATTCAGCCTGATGGCTATATAGTCGTCCCACAATACCAGCCGTTTTGACGTCAATGTAGCCTCCCCATGAAGTGTCGTAGTGGATATTGAAACTAAAATTCGAACAATCAGAGCAGAGAGAAACGCAATAAACTATAAAAAACTTAAATAAATTTAGATAATTCCGTTCAACTAAATCGCACTGCGTACATAACTTTCGTGAAATATATGTAGGGCACAGCAGGACGCAACGGAAATCGCATAAAAGTATGTGCGCTCTTGAAGTGCAGAGCAAATGAATGAATTGTACTTGGGGATGAATAGATAAGCAGTTAAGGACAAGAAGGTGAACGTAGGCATAGGTGAGATTGATACATAAAAATTGAAGTATGATTAGTAAGCAAACGTCAAGGCGGACAATCAAAAACCTGGGTAAAGTCAGCGTGCAGACAATCAGCTATATGGGTAAGAGTGTAGTTAAATGGATGCACGCTGATAGATCTAGAGGTACATCACTAGAAGGCTAGATGGATGAACTGAATGGAAAACAGATGAAGAGATATTCAGAAGAATCGATGTACATGCCATGAGAGTTTAATCCTACCTGATGTCACATCAACTGGAAAAGCGCGCGGTCAATACCACAAGGACGATCATTCACCGAGCACAAGGGAGAGATACATATATGGACGTACCCCCCTTTCCCCTCCCTGATAAGAAGAAGACCCTTCAGAAAGCCAAACGAACGGAGATCGGAGCAGACAAAACCATAGTTATGACTATGATAAGATGTCAACTGAAGCAAAGATAATGGGAGAGATGCACTGATTAAAAAGTCTGCAGGCGAGTTGCCAGACGAATGTACTGCCGCACAAATGATAGAATGATTTAGTGGTGGACGGCTGAGTAGTACAGTGAAGAGAAAGAAGTGTACAGCGGCCTATCAGAACAGAAATCCGTCGAAGAGACAACCGATCTCATTAATAAGCACTGGAACGATTAGATAGATACCACATATAGATAAAGAGATGTAAAAGTAAAGGGATTAATGGGTGGAAGAATTACCAGGCTAAAAGCCTGACGTATTGGTGAGGCGTAACTTGGGTGCACAGACGTACGTTGAAGACTAGCGCTCGTGAACAAAATTAAAAATTAACGGCGGTTTTTATAAAACATATTAAAAGTTTGTCGAAATTAATTTAATAAAGTATAGATCCGAACGATGGCTGAAACGATGAATGGACGGACATTCTACCGACAAAATGTAGAATACATTTATCAATACGTTTATCAAAATTACCTAAAATTATATAAATCTTCCATTGGACGCATAAGGCCGTAAACTTTACGCGGCATAGAATCCAATTCTTTCCAATCCCGATTATTGCTTAAAAACGTGTAATTAGTGAAATCTTTCGGTTTATCGTGCAACTGTAAAGAATCTTATATGAAAACGTGACTCAGATTTGTGACAAACAATTCCTTTGTTCAACTTACTACCGTAGCCACTTTAATGCTGATATTTTGAAAGTTACTTCTTCTTACCATGAAGCCGTACTTAAACTTAGGATCAATTATTAAGCCCTGTTGCAAAGACCAGTTACCTTTTACTTCAGCGGTTGCAGGAAAGTCGGGCAAGATCTTATAGACATCAAATAAATGAAAGCGGGAGCTAACATAATTTAATAAAAAAGAAAAAATTTCAATTTAAAAACAAAGAAGAACAAAAACAATAAAAACAACAATTTACCCATTTACTCTTAGAGCTAGTGTAACATCAGCATTTATATGAAGCCTTAAAAGCTTGAATATATTTTTGATCATTTTTAAATTATCCAACAAGCCTTCTGCAAGTGCCCGCATTGTTATAAACCAAGCGTAAGAATTTTTAAATTTATCTTTTACAGCAAAGTCCCGTAATACGTGCAAAGATTCCCCTGGATCGGTAATATTTATATAAATCCCGACTTTTGGAGAACTTTTATAAAATAAATTTTCAATGTCATGCTCAACTGAAACTCGATGAAATCTTATGTGACAATGCATGGCCAAATCCCTTATCTCATTCAAGTATCCCCATTGTCCTTGTTGTTGTTGTTGTTGTTGTTGTGCTCTTATGATAATTGCATGTTTCAAATGCTGATTAACTAAAAAATCCCGAAATGCTCGCATTTCTATAGCTGTCGTTGAACAGTAATTGGCCAGGAATAGCCATAAAATAAACACGAGAAACATTTATTATACTTTTTACAAGTCTGATTACTTAGCTTTCTATGACTTAAATCATGTTGTACGCGCCCTATTTATATATTAAGAATTTTTGCAAAAATAAATGCAAGAACAACAAGGACAACAACGGCTTACTTGTGCTGCTAATAACAATTACCATCGGCACCATCAGCAGTTTAACTTGTAGTTAAAGTGTAAGTAAAATGTTTAAACACATTGACAACTTAAATTATACTCAATTGTCACGTTGTCAATGCTATTATTGTTTTTGTTGTCCTTATTGTCGCATTGTAAACGTTCATGTCATATCATAATTGCTATTAGCCGTGGGTTCGTTCGTATATATGTATATACGCAACGGACACATTAATTGCAATATAAATGTAAATTTCCATACGTCAATCCATAAACACTCGCCTCCGTTCTCTTATTCTCATCTCCATTTCATTCCTTTGTGTGCCTTAATGCTTATACACAGTAAACTGCTGCACTTAACAGCACTGACAGCACTAGCAAGCGAAGGAAATGTTTTGACACATTTAGACGCACGATATTCTACGCACGCACTTTCATAAACGGGCATAGGTAGCGCGAAAATCATTAAAATATTAGGTAATCTATAGTTCAAGGTCGTGCTTACAGCCATAACTTGGATAAGTTAATCAATTCTGACATATTGAAGGCTCAATAGCTTTCCGATTATTTTATATATATATTTCGTGCATGCTTTGAAAGAAAGTTTCAGAAATCGAAAAAAAGTGTGTCTGTATGAAGAGGTCTCCTGTCTAGAATGAGGGCGCAGTCAGTCAATCAATATGTCTCTAATTGCACACATATATTGGATCGACTGTCGGAACCGCTCCCGGCTTACCACATCATCTTTTTTTGGTTTCCTTAGAAGTAACTATTCCTGACGCGGCCATTCTGGAAGCCGGATTGTCCGCAGCGTCCTTCTGGAAGGCTAACTTTTGAAAGTGCACTTCTTGGAATCAATTTTATCGAATGCGTCCTTCCTTGAATGAGTGTACCTGGGAGCGGAATTTCTGAAAACATCATGCCCCTTCCCTGCAGCATTCCTGAAAAAGGCTTTTCTGGAAACGCGTTTCCTGGGAACAGTACTCTTGGAAACGATTTTTCGGGCAACGAACTACCTGGAAGACGACTCTCGAAACGCAGTTTATCTACTAAGTGGTTTCATGACCTGCATACGCCATTATCTTTCCGTCTTCTTTGGAACCGCCCCTCCCAATACGACTGTCCAGAGTTGGCCTTCCCAGAAACGATTTTTCTTGTCTAGCGTACTTCTTGAACGCGTCCTCATTGCAAAAGGTCTTCTTCAAGGAAACAATGTGCCGGGAAGGGGCTTTTAGCGGCCCATCCGAAAGTTGCGTTCGTATAAACTAGGTTGCTGATGACTATCACTCCGCAAGAAATTTCGAATTTGCCTTCGTTTAAACGGCCTTTCCGGAAAGTAACTTGCCTAAAGCCAACAACCGGGAAGCCATCTCAAAAGTAATTTTGTTGAAATCGTTCTATCTATAAGCAATCTTCTCGAGGGCTGCCTAATTGAAGAAGTTGCTTCAATCATAAACATAGAAGGAACAACGCCTTCTATAAGAAATCCTTTAAACCGTGAAATCCTGGCTTGCTGACAGCGATCGACTTAATTTCGAGTTCAACAGAACGGATTCAAAATCACTGCAATTCAATATTCTTCGCAATTCGTAGAAAGTTATGTTAAAAATTTTCCCATTTTTTCCCATAACGCGTACTGTACGTAAAACTGCGCCCTTATTATTATTATGGCTGAAATGTGTATGAACATTGGGAATAGGCAGATATGAATGCGCGTTTATGCAGATTGTGATTAATTAAAAAGTTTTTTATTTAATATTAATCATCAATCTTTCGGTCCATGTACAAGTCACGCATACCCAGGTGCACTAAAAAGTTTACTATATATAGATATTGATAAACAGCACTTTTAAGCTCATTGATACGTTAGCCTTGAAGTGCATTGACACACTTTTTTAAATAGTTAAACCGAAAGCGGTAGCAAAATCATCATAATCATCATTATCATCATAATCATCGTCATCACCATCATCGCCATCAACAACAACAGCAGCAGCAACAGCTTTATAGGTAAAAAATTTTTCAACAAGTATTTTTAGTTGCAGACTTTTTTGTTCAACACTTCAATACGAACACAAACATTTACGTGTACACATTTGCGCATACACATTATTCTCCAGCCACAATATTTCGGTTATGGATACTTGGCATCGTCATTACTAGTAGCAAGCATTACTTGAGCATAACATGGTGTATATACCCTATGAGTGTTTATATATAAATTTGCACACCGGCGGCTCTTGTACTACTAGCTGTTATTAATGACGTTGTTATATATATGTTGCGGTTATGTTGCTTTTGGTGTTAGTCTTCTTTTATTATTATATTTAAAAATTCCAGTCTACAAGCATAAAGTTGTGTATGTGTGTGCTATAAAAACTTCTACATCATCAGTTTATATCCACTAGCATCTGAGTGTATATGGAAACTTCTCGGCCATATGTGAATATTTCACACTTGCTTCACCGTAATCATAAGAATAAAAAGAACAGCAATAATTATAACACTTGTCTACCTTTATTCAACTTATTCTGCTTATTTTGTAGAAATGCTCTCAGGCAAAATAATTTTGTTATGAATAATTGTTTATCCATTAACCGACACACAATAATTTGGTAATGAAAGCAAAATCTTATGTAAGGCAAGGCAGTGAAGACTTGGAAGGTATGAGCGAGCGTAACTGTAATGCCAGATATTCTGTATCGGTCTGTTAGAGAAAGAGAGAGAAACAGAGATAGAGAAAGAGACAGCTATAGAGAAAGAGTCAGGCAAACTCTAATGAGGTCTTTTTTTAAAAGGAGACTTACTTTGCCCTTCGTACCTTTTTCCATCTGTACCTAATATATGTGAAACAATTCTCTGCTATACGCTAGTCCACGACTACATCTGTCCGTCTGTCCACAAAACATGAAAAACAATTTTCTCCCATGTGCCAATCTATGAGTAACTCTGCCAACAATACATGAGAAACATTTTTATCTTCTCTGCGTATCCGTTACTGCATCTGTCCACCTGTCCAGAGTCCATGAGAAACGATCCTGATTCAATCCGAAGGTTTAAAAATTAATTGTGTTATTTTTTTGTTGAAACTCTAACTGATTTAACAAATATTTGCTATAAAACTTAATAATCGAACTATCACCATTACTATCTAAGATCTCTTGCTTTTCATCGTGCAGCTTACTGATGCCCTCGCGCTAGGAATTTTATGATTTCGAAGCGACCTATTTTTTATCATATCTTCAACTTTGTAGAATCTCTAACATTCTAAATACAACCGGGTCGATCTGAACCAGTGCCGATCAGAAAGAAAAAGATTTAAAAAATAGTCGCCAATCCGAAGAGAAGCTCCATGTCAAGTTCCAAGATTACTTCCTGGATTGTCTTAGCTAGAGACAATCGGACCCATGCAGAAGATGAAAGCTTTCTGCTTGAAATCTCGTAAACAACTTTCTAAATATTTCATACCTTATCGCATTTTTACTCTAAGCTAAGTTAATCACTTCCGTAGCTTTAGCTGGACTTTGTTCCGTTTAATCTACACAAAAATTTAAAAAAAAACTCAGCAATGTAAATGACACGCACCTCTTTACACTTTGATATACACTGAACTGAAACTTATATCGTGTCATGGAATAATATCTAAACCATGTATAACCAAAATTTCGAAAAAAGTGCACTTGTCATGCAATTTCAAGTTACAGAATTTATAATATTTGTATACGTTTTTTTTTTTTGTTTTTTGTGGTTTCTTATAAAAACGTTTATATGTTAGATTCTAAACGGTTCTTAAAAATAAAAAGGAAAATTAATTACCGGACAAGTGTAAAAGAAAGATTTGATTGAGAGAAAAATATTCATTTGTTCGTTTGCCGTATGTACATATGTTATCACATTTACACTCATTGCATTTATAAGATCTCAGGGCGTATGATGAACATTAATTTTCAAAAGAAATTTTTATATATTTCACTAGGTTTGCATTTAGTCATGTCGTTTATTAAAAACTTTACACATACTTTTGAAATAAAACAAGAAAACACATACACACCAAATGTGCACACACACACACACATATACACAAATATATATTTACGAATATATATAGAATACATATAATATAGTTATTGTCAAAGAAAAATGTCCAATTAATTTTCTTTATATTATTGTAGGGTTTTGTTTTTCTATGTATTTTCTTCTTCTTGTTCAAGTCCGTCGTTTTTCTTATTTAAGAAAAAAAAATAATAATAATAATAGTTATACAAATACTAGTGCAACCTCTTTCATGTAAGAGCGTACAAGTGGGATGAAAAGGCTGATGGAGGTTAACTGTAACTGATGCTGTTATAAGTAGAGAGAATTTTTGTTAGAGATATGGTAGTATCTCTCGTTACTTAGTTATATACATCACACACAGGCAAGCACGTACAAATAAATTTCATATATTTATAGCGATAATTTTATTTCATTTTTCTTTTGATTTTCATTTTTATTTCAATTGTTTCTTTTTTTTTTTCTGCTTTTTATATAAAAATATTTGTCATAAATAGTTCCTTAGTATGTATTAGTGCAACTACTATCACAACTAGTAACACTACGACTACTACTACTACTACTACTACTACTACTACTACTACTACTACTGCCAGTCTTATCTAAATCCAGTGTAGTTAAATCTATTATATAGAACAAATGGCTGCATGTGGTCTTAAGGGAGTTGAAAACGAAAAATAAACATGAATTTGCCTTTCCATGCTACTCCTGCAAATGGTTGCATGCAAGGCTCTAAACTGAAACTCAATTTGCAAAATACGCAAAAATTACCAACAGTTGTATACTACTACAGCTAAAGCTTATCCTTACATGCTTGA